GCTAAGCAAAATCAGCCAGTCAGAGAAAGACAAGTATCACATGATCGCACTTAAATGTGGGATCTAATGAACAAAATAGAGTGATGAACAAAATTGATCCAGAGACATAGAAGCATGGAACAGACTGATGAATCTCAGAGGGAATGGGAGAAGAAGGGATGGGAACAGATTACCCCAAAAAACTTATAGATATATATGCATAACCCATGCACACAGACAGTAGGGTAGTAAAGCTTGGTGGGGCAGGGCAGGAAGGGGGGGAGGAGGGTGGTTATAGGATAGAGGGGTTCAATGGGAGGGAAAGGAGGATAACTGTAATACTTTCAACAATAAATATAAAATTTTAATATTATGATATTGAATACTATTATTTTATAATGTTACATTAATAACATTTTAAACTTTCTGACACCTTCCAGGCTTTTTTCTTATTATGAAAAAATTTTAAATATAAAAAATATAATGAGATTAATATCAATTCCCATGCCCTATAGACCAACTCAATTATCTGTATTTTGTCATTTTTTGGTCTCTTTTCCTGGCCTATCCAATTCCTCTTTTCCTTCTTCTTACCCACTTTTTAATATTGTATAATATTGTATAAACCCCTAACATTGTATGATTTCACTAGTAAATCTTCAAGTATACATCTCTTACTGATAACCTTTTAAATATATTAACAAATATTTGGTAGAATTCATGAGTGAGCAATCTGAGCCTCTGGAGAGAAGATTTTTAACTACAAATGAAATTTCTTTCAGAGATATAGGGGATTAAGATGATCTACTTTATCTTGAGTAAGCTTTGGTAGTTTGTATCTCTCAAGTAAATTTTCTATTTCAAAGAATTTGTTGAATTTATAGGCATAAAGATGTCCATAATATTCCCTTGTTATACTTTGAGTATCTGTAGAATATGTAAGTTATGTCACTCAGCTGAGTCATGACACTGGCATTTTGTGTTCTCTATCTCTCTCTCTTCTTTAATCACTCAGAATAGAAATTTATCAACTTTATTTTATAAAAAAAAAAACAGCTTTTGGTTATATTAACTTTCTCTGTAATTTTTATTTTCCATAGAATTTATTTCCACTTTGAATTTTATTATTTCTTTTCCTCTGTTTACTTTTAATTTGTCCTTTTTTTTTTTTTTTGTCTCAAGTGTCAAAAGGTAGAAGCTAATGTCATTGATTTGAGACCTTTCATTTTTTTCCTTATGTAGGCATTCAGGGCTATTACAGTAGTAATAGCACAGGATACATTTCAAGACCCCCAGAGAATGCCTAAAACTGCAGATAGTACCAAACTCCAGATATAGGGTGTGTGTGTCTTTTCCCCTATACATAAATGTCTATGATAAAGTTTATTTTTTAAGTTAGACAAGAGATTAACAACATAATCGAATAATTATTGTAATACACTGTAACAAAAGTTGTATGCATGTAGTCTCTTTGTCTCTCAGAATATCCTCTTGTGTTGTACATACATCCCAGGAGGACGGATCAGAATGGCATAAGACTTTATCACACTGCTCAGAACCTTTAAGTTGAAAACATATGAGTTGTTTATCTCTGGAATTTTTCATCCAATAATTTCAGAATGTGGTTGGCTGCAGGTAACTGAATCCGCAGATGGGTGAGGGGAGCACAACTGTCATTTTTCCAAAAGAGCACGTTAGCAGCATCGCACTAACTCAAATGCATTGTTTTCATTATCCTTCATTTCAAAATACCTTCTAACTTCTGTTTTGATTTTTTCTGTACTCGTGGGTTATGCAGGGTTGGATGCACATGGGACTCACAGATCTCTGAGGTCCTCTATGTGGTTCTTGCCACCCGGGTACTTCTGGCTTCTCAATTCTGGCTGCCTTGGTCTCCCTGGACTTTCTTTTCTGTCTCCACTCTGACAGTGAACGGAGTCTCGCCTGGTGGTGCCTCCAGTGCTGTGAGCTGGAACCTCTTTCACTGCATTAGACAGAGGCAATCGCAGGGCTCCTTGTGTTTGTTTCTCATGTCTCAGGGATCATGGACCTTGGTCACCAGTGTCTTGAAAACCATTGTTTCATATATTTTGTCTGGTATGTTGGGGAGCACAAGAGACTTAGTTGGAAAGTTGTAAAAAGGACATTCTGATAAAAGGGAAGCATGTTGCAGGCCAACTGCCCTGTTTAGCGGAATTCCCACTTAGGGGAGTGTCCAAGACAGCGCCTCCAATTACTCCTCAACTTTTCCACACAAGCCTGTGCGTGTGCAGACCCCGAGTGTTTACTGGCATCCTTACCCTTAATCCCTGGATGCCTTTGCCAAGAGGACAATGTAAAAACGGGTATCTTCCCAAGATTGCTCACCTTATTGATTGTATCTAAAGATGAAAATCCCAGTAAAGGCTAAGGAGGCAAGCAATAGAGGCGGCTCTGGCCACTAGAGCCAGGGGCCCCTTAGCCCTCTCTTGCCAGTCAAACTGCGTCTGAGTAATCTGCTCATCCATTGTTCAAGTGCTGCTGGTCAGCCCCAGCAGTGTGTTGTTGTTGTTGTGTTTTGTTTGTTTGTTTGTTTTTTGGGGGGGGGGTTTTGGTGGGGATGTGGTGGGGGGTTGTTTCAGGGAAGAGAGTAAATCTGGTCCTTATTATTCCATCTTAGCTAAAAAAAGAAATCCATTTTTGTTTTGTTCTTTATATATCACTATGGACTCGTGACTTTTATACATTTTGTTTGTTTTAATCTATTGCAATCATTTTCCTTTTTGAGGCTCAAAGTATCTCAACTTAGGCCAGTGAGAGCTTTACTACATGTTGGCTTTTGGATCTTTTTGACATGTTTCTACTAGTCTCTATAGTGGCAAATAATATTTAGGCCCTAGAGGTTAACTATTTATTTGCATTTGGCTAAACTTGTTTTTAAAAAGTGGAAGAAAGAGCAAGATGGAGATATTTTGTTTATAAATAGGTACATTGCAATAAAAAAAATAATAAAAAAACCCATACCGTGATAAGAGGAGATTAAATTCTACCACATACAACTCACTAACATCCTTAACTGTTAAATAAAGACCATAAAAGTTCTCATCACTTCTTCCCAAATATGGATCCCCATGTTTCCACCATCTATTCCAGTGCAGGCATTTGCTGTAGCTGCTATTTTGTCAGAGAATAATTCTGATCTTCTATGTACCAGTGTACCATACTTTTTGGCTAACCTCAAAATACTCAGGGAAGCACTCAATGACCCAATAAGTCTTGCTTTGCTTTTAGTGAGCACAAGTTCTATGATGGTAAATTCCCACATATGGTCACTGTAACACTTGTGCATGATCTGCTCATCTGAAGGCATTTCTACTCTACACTATCAACAGCAAAGATGTGATTAGAAAAACATTCATCTACTAAGATGTGCAGGCATGGTTACAGGAAATGAATAAAAATTACGGTTACACATGGTTATACTAAGATGATATCATAGAGCAATAACTGAGAATAAGGTGCCTACCCCCTCTCTCCATTGGCTTCAGGTTCTGATCCTCAAAATATAATTAAAGCTGCTCAGTCACTTAAGACACAGGACTATCACAGCCTCTGTGTTAGTACTAGACTAGAACTTGATTTTTTTTCTCTCAAAGTTTACTTTGATTTTCCAGCAATTTAGGTATCATAGCACATATGCTAATACATATTAGTAACTAACATTTACTTGGCACTTATTGCAATCTCGATACAGAGGCAAGCACCTTGCATATATTACTTCAATTAACACCCTGAAAAATTATTTACTTATTTTTTGCTTAGCTAATAAGTGGCAGAACTGAGCTTCAAGCCCAAGCTGGCAACAGAGCTCAGGCTCCTAGCCACTGTGCTTTATTGCTACAGTCCTAGGTAATTTTTAAAAAGTTGCTCTTTTCCTAGAAAGGAAAAAAGAAAACATTATTTACTGCTAAACTGTAAGCTTAAAGAGACCAAGCCCAAACTAACATGGGATCTTACCTGTTTTATGTCAGCCTTTTGCTGCTAACACACCTGTTTTCTAACAGTAGTGAACTGAATCTCAGCTTTTAACTGGAAAAGGCAAGACTCATTCATTCTCCTAAGTACTATATAAAACAGTTAAAACCTATGCTGTGACAATTTCAGACAATACACAGGTAAATTTTATAGTAACCAGTTTTTCTCATTACAAGTAAGAATTAACTGCAAATTATTTTGGAACTCTGGGAAGCAGAAGAGATGGCATGAAAGTGCAAGATTACAAAGGAACTAGCATTTCCATCAGTGCTAAAATACGAGAATTCATATATTTGGTGTATGCGAAAGCTATAAGGTTACTTTTCTATATACATCCACCTCTCTTTCACCTTACATACTCAGTGACCACATTCCCTTCTTAAAAGCCAAATGTTTAGAGGACCTAATGACATATGAACACTTAAAACTTCAACCAAAACACCTTCTGAATGCAATACATTATTGTGAGCATTTAAATAATTCTTGTCACATATATCAGTTTATTTCATGCATATATACTGAGTGGCCAGATTATTATGATCTCTGAACATATAATAATCTGGCCACTCAGTGTATGTGTACGTATACTAGAGGCCTGGTGCATGAATTCATGCATGGGTGGGGTCCGGCCAGCCTGGCCAGAGGGAGGGGACATGGGCACTTGGCTGGCCTGCCTGCTGGTTGAAATTCTGGTTGAGGGGACAATTTACATATTAGCCTCTTATTATATAGGATATACACTGAGTGGCCAGATTATTATGCATTCAGAGATCATAATAATCTGGCCACTCAGTATATTTCACTTATTAGCAATAAAAAAGCAAAAAAGTAAGCTGCTTATTTAAAAAAATAAAAGAGCCATTTTAGAAAGGATGGTTTTGACGTTGTTGCCTTACACTGGTTTTAACTTTATCAAACACTAGCATGCTTTTATAATGACCTATTTCTCATTCGGTACCTTTATCAATGACATTGGAAGCCCTAAGGGGAAGTAGCAGGGCACCTACCTTCGTTAGGTGAATGACTCCTTTAGAAGTTACCGAGCAGCCCATGAAGCCCACATACTGCAGCTCCGGACAGTGCTCGGCAAAGGCTTTCACGGACTGGTCTGTCACCTGGGGAAGAGACGGGAAGCAAGTTATCCAGGGGCATTCCAGTGCATTTCAGATTCCCTCTGCCCAGCCTGCACCATTCCTACTTCCCTCACCATTAGATCGTTGGAATCAGTTTGCACACACGCTGAAGTATTTCCTGTGGGCTTTTGAAATACTCCTTCCATCCCACACCTCTTCTATCATCCCGGTTTTCCACTTCATAGAAAACATCTCTAAGATGTCGACACCATCTATCTCTACTTCTTCATCTCTCTCTCACTACATATTTTTATTGACATATAATTCACATACTATAAAAATTCAGCTTTTCAAAGGTTACCACTCAGTGGTTTTTAGTATATTCACAAGGTTTTGCAGCCATCACCAATATAAAATTTCAAAACACGTTCATCGCTGGAAAAGGAAACCCCATGCCTCTACTGGCCATCTTCCCTCTTCCACCTGCTGCCCCCGGCTGCCTGGAAACTTTCTGTCTATGGATTTGCCTAGTCTGGGCATTTTTTTAAAATTTATTTTTATTGATTCTTTACAGAGAGGAAGAGAGAGGGATAGAGAGTTAGAAACATCAATGAGAGAGAAATATCGATCAGCTGCCTCCTGCACACCCCCCACTGGGGATGTGCCCACAACAAGGTACATACCCTTGACAGGAATCAAACCTGGGACCCTTCAGTCTGCAGGCTGAGGCTCTATCCACTGAGCCAAACTAGTTTCAGCTGGGCATTTTTTTATAATTAAAACTTTAAGAACACATATATTTAAAAAAATTGATTTTTAAAAATTAAAAAGAAAGATTTTATTCAAAAGAGTGAATAAAATGTTATCACTATTAAAAAAAAAAAAAAAAAAAAAAACCACCCACTTTACAATTGGTTCCTAAAGTGCAACAATGATCTGTTTATAAGTTGTTTTTCTCCCTTCCAGTGTTTCTTCCAAGAAATCTAGTTTTGGTCCTCACTGCTTCAGATTTTTCCCATTTGGATGGTATAATGGTTGATTTTACACATCAACTTGACAATGCCAGGAGGTACCCAGATATTTGGTGTTTCTGTAAGAGTATTTCTGGATGAGATTAACATTTGAAAAGACAGAGTAAAGCAAGAATGCCCTTCCCAATGTGGATGAGGGTCTCTTATCCAATCCATTTAATAGAACAAAAAACTGAATAAGAAGGAATTTGTTCTCTCTCTCTCTGGCTTTCTCAGACCTGCGACATAGATTTCCTACCCTCAGACTCAAACTTGTACTGGAACTCACACCACCAACTCTCCCATGTCTTAAGCCTTTGGACTCAGACTAGAACTATACTATCCTATATAATACAAGGCTAAAATGCAAATTGACCAAAGGACAGAGCAACCAGTCGCTATGACATGCACTGACCACCAGGGGGGCAGATGCTTGAAGCAGGAGCTGCCCCCTGGTGGTCAATGTGCTCCCACAGGGGGAGCACCAATAAGCCAGAAGCCAGGCTCACAGGCTGGTGAACACAGTAGTGGTAGCGGGAGCCTCTCCTGGCTCTTGTGGCATCCTCCAACTTTCCTGGACTGTGAGAGGGCGCAGGCACGAATTTCATGCACTGGGCCTCTAGCATACTATCAACTTTCATGTGTCTCAGATTACCAACTGCAGATTTGAGACCTTCTCAGCCTCCATAATCATAAGCCAATTCCTTACATTAATTTATCTACACACATACACACAAAGACACACACACACACACACACACACACACACACACACACACACCTCATACTGATTCTATTTCTCTGGAGAACGCTGACTAATGCAATACCTATTAGAATCCCAAGAAATTTATTAAAAACTCAGAGCCAAAGGGGTGAAGCCCAAGAATCTGTATTTTTAACAAGCCCCTGAATGACTCTTAGCCATGTGAAACTTGAGGCCTCAGTGCTGTAAAGAAGTTACACTTGACAGCTTTTGGCATTTGTACCAGGCCCTGATATATTTAAACAAAGGGCAGGATGAAATTCCTTTTTGTCTCCCCCCACCTCTAAAAAGTTTCCATGTATAAAATGATCTTATTATGTGCTAACATTTTCTTCACTGTTCCACAAAGTTGTAGCTTATAAAAGATCCAAATATTCACTATCATACACTTAATTTCATATTCACTTTCCTCATAGTCAAGCTAAAATCAAGTTGAACACTTCTGTTAAGTTTTTCAAAGAGTAGCAACTTACATCTCTTTTGCATTAGCTTTACTACTGGTGACTCATACATTCTGGATATATATTGAAAAGTAAAGGTATGTGAATATAATAGCATTAATTCTAAAACAACACAAGAGCATTTTCCTAAAATAACAAAACCAACAGCACCGTACTACATCTGATAAAAGATTAATTCTGCCCTTAAAAGTATGCTTTAGCATACTAAAAACTAAAGGTGCCACTGATAAATTAAAAATGCGCCTTCCTGACTCTCAGCCAAGATATGTCTCCTTTTCATGGACCCCTTAATAGCCTGCACACTGGCCCTCTTTCTGATACTCTTGACCTCACAAATCTATTCTCCATCCATCAAGCCACAGTAATCTTTCAAGGAGTGTAAATCAGATCATGTCAGTCTGCTCTTAAAAACCTTCCCGTGGTACTAATTACCTTAAGGGTGAAATCCAAACTCCTATAATCTACAAGGCCCTACATGATCTGACTTCCCTGTCTCTCCCATCTCATTTCATCTTACAATTTTCTCTCCTTGTTCACCATGTGACGGTCTCCTCATCAATCTCATTCAGCACTCTAACTCCAGTACCTGGCACAGGGCCTGACAACAACAGGAACTTCCAAAATAAAAATGAACAAGTGGATGAAGTATTGTCTTGTGTGCGAGTGTGTGAGTGTGGTGTTTTGTTTTGTTTTGTTTTTTTTTAAATAAATTGATTTTTATTGATTTTTTAGAGAGATGGGAAGAGAGAGGAAGAGAGAGAAAAACATCAATTGCCTGCCTCCTGCACATCCCCTAATGGGGACAGAGGCACACCCAGGCATGTGTACTGAGCAGGAATCAAACCGGCAACCTCTTAGTGCGTGGAACAATGCTCAACCAACTGAGCCACACAGGTTAGAGCAGGTGAAGTACAGTCTTGATGCACGTCAATGATTTGTTGGTTCAATATTGAAAACAGATCTTTTTTTTATTTGACACTCTTATAGATGTCCCCTATTTCCCCAAGTTTCGCCCACCCAGCCTCCACCCATCCTCCTCTGGCCTTCACCACACTGTTGTCTGTCCATGGGCTCTGCATATAAGATCTTTAGCTCTGCCAAGAAAATTTAAATTTTGATCTTACTGGTTCCAAATGGCACAAAGAAGCTAAGAATGAGATAAATGGCTTCATGAAGGTAAGAGCAAGATTTTCAAAGAAAGCAACAACAGCATTTTGATTCTGGAGTGAACTGAAAAATTAATGTGAGAAAATTAGTGGAGATACTAACTCATCTCCCTCCAATTCTCAGACCAATTCAAGACCTTCTTTCCACCTCCAAGAAAAAAGAGCAAAGCAACAGAGACCAAGGGCATAGCGAACCTGCTTCCTAGGGGATTTTCCAGGAGGAATACTAGCCTTTGATTACTTTTTTCATGTCTTGCAGTCAGAGTGATCAGTGGGCCTTTGGGGTGTCCTCACCTTCTGGATGTAAAATAAAGCCAGCATAAAGAAACCTGCTTAAGCTAGGTTCTAACTGAGCTTTGTAACCAAAGAGCAAAAACATTTCCAGGTATTTCATTTCAGTGAGATTCACCAGACTAGCGAAGCCATATGGATTCTAAACTCAGATGGAACCGAGTTTAGTTGTTTAAGTATCCCCTCTGACATGTAGCAGGTATCAACCACATGAATGGGATATTGGGTCAGGAAAACAGAAGAGCTGTGACCCCAGCATTGGGTATCCAGTCCACTGAGCCAGCAATGTCTTTAAAAATAAAATAAAATAAAAATGTCACATATATGATGTGTGTATTGAAGGGCTATTTCACTCGGTTGAAAGTCTCTTAACTCCCTTTCATTCAACAAATATTTGGGTACTTCTACATGCACAACACATGTTAAACACTAGTGCAGTGCAAGCATAAAGGCAGTCCCTGACTCCAAGAGCAGAGGCTATAGGTTGGGATGTGACCAGGTCTAACTCCCACATCCACTAGTAACATTTCTGGGAATATCTGAGACTGATCATTGCATCCCAATTTAGTTCAGTTCAGTTTGCCAAGGCCTTCTGACTAGATCTAAAACCGAGGTTGAAGAGGAACCTGATTATGGAGAGTTGAAAGCCAGGCAGACTGGTTGTGACTTCATATTGAGTCCTTTTTTATTGGTAATATGAGAAAGAGCTTTAAAAATTATTAGGTCCCTTGAGTTCTAACATACTTCAAGCCTTTAACTGATGAAGCTATTCATTAAAGGCTCCAAAAGAAGGGTGATGAAGAAAATACTAACTTTAAAGTCCAGCAGGTACACACAGGGCAGCTAAAGATTGGCCAGGAGGCTATGCCTGCAGCAGGTCCCATGCCTCCAAGAGGCATAATACACCAAGGAGTACCTCAGTAAGGCCTAGCCACAGGCCACATTCAGTAAGCACCCTCATCAGACAACTGACAAAGAAGATGTGAAGTATCATACTATGATGCTAAAAATACCAAGTAGAAGGAATTTTATTTACCTACCTAGTAGCTACACCATTATTAGAGTTTTAAAAGTGGAACACCATAAAATTTCTCCATTTATTTATGCAACTATTTAAAAGCTAATGTAAGGTGTGTTTTGTTTTGTTTTTTCATTTTCACATTCCTTTGCTCTTCTGTATTATATTTTTTCACAGGGTATACTATGTACCTTACAATCAATGCACTAAAAAGCCTTCATATTTGAAATAGTATTACAAAAACACAAAACAAATGAGCACTTGTTATATAAAATAGTTAAATATGGAGACAAATACTTGGTATGAATTTGCTTTATGAATCATTTCAGTAAT